TTGCCAGGATGACACTCTCCCACTTGAGCCGTGCTCCCAACCCTGATCATAACTCTTAAATGCCTTTCAAACTATCCCTATTGTTGCCTCTTTAGTCCTCTGTCATCGCTTGTCTTGGTGTTGGGCAATTCTGATACTTGTAACTAGGTAAGCATAGAATAAGTGTTAATAAGTAAATATGCTAATATCTAGCAAGGGAGTACTAGTCTCTACCCCTTCCTCATCTTTCTCCATTCTCCCTTGCCAAAAATAAATATAAATATAACAGTCCTCCAAACTACTGCTGATGGAGTGACCTTTATAAAAGGCAAATTTGGACCTTATTGAAAATCCACTAGTGATTCCTCCTGCCCATGGGATCAAGTCCTAACCTCTTCTTGTAACCCAGCATACAAAGCTCTTCTTAACTGACCCCAGCAACCTCTCCAGTCCAGTGTTATCTTTTATCACCTCCCTCATACACACATACACCCTGACCTCCCACATGAATTACATGTGCTTCTCATGTACTCTCGTGCCTTGCTTGGTTAGCTTCTACACATGATAGTCACTGTCTACCAGTGATGTGCTTCCTTCCCACTGTCTGCCTGGTGGCTGACTGGATTTGATATATATTCTTCTGTTCTGGGACATACTTGACTGCCTTTCCTGACACCTTTCCCAGCGTGGGAAAGGTGATAGTAGGCCATTTACTTCTGAGATGTCCTCAGAGCACCTTTATGCCACATTTCACACTAGGTCACAGGGATTGCTTTCCCCACTAGACTGGTATTCTGTGGCATTTTGCCTTTTTCACCTTATTTTCAGCACATAGCAGTAACTAATCAGAAGATTTTTTTTCAAACAATTGCAACATTTCCTTCTTGTTTTCAAATACTTTATAAAAATAAGAATTACATAAAATGGTTATGCTCTTTACTGAGCTCCCAAAATGCATAAAATCAAGAGCTATACATTGGATCAAGAATGGTGTACTTACTAATTTCTGTTTCATCCAACACCTGTTTATTGGTTTTGAGTCCAATAATATTTGGACTCAAATATTATTCATGTTATGGGCTCTTTTTACTTCCTGTTTAGTATCGGAAATGTATATGGACGAAATGTGTGGGGCATACTTTCTGATTTAGTGTGTATGGGTCCACTATGCATTGGTAACATATGTTGGAAATTGTTGGCTTAATTAGTATATGGAGATATTTATTGAATGAGAGAACCATTGTTAAAAAGCATCTAAGTTATGAGAATGGGTGTCCTTTTCAGAATTTTAAATTAGTTTTGTATGTGGATTCCCATTGTGGTATATGTGGTGGTATGTTTGTTGGCAAAGCATATGAAAACACAATTGTTAATATTTCAGTAATTCCAAACTCCATTCTTTCCCTCATACCAAAACTCTGCAACCTGTTCCTGTTTTTTCTCCCCCTCTATGTATGTTAGGACTATACCTTTGGTAAAACAACACTGATTGATTTAATCACATGATCTATTTAGCAAAAGCTAAATCCTACTACATGGTGGCTATTTCCCATACTCATTTCCGGCCGTCTGTAGGGATGCATTTAGGCCAGATCTCATCCACCAGGATTATTGTACCCTGCTTTTACAGTGACACTCCCTTACCCCCCCAAAGCACTGTTGCTCTTGCTCAGTTTTCACACATGCTACTTTTATTTACTACTTTGATCCTTTATCTACTTTCCCACTCTTGTACCTTAAGGCTCTTAAGATCCTAGACTGACTTCCTTAGTTTATGGACTGACACCTCATACCTCATTGCCTGTTATACCCTAGTATACATTTCCCCATCTTTTGTGTACCCTGTTTGGAAGGTCTCCTAATCCAACTGTATGAATTTCTTCCTTGTTCCAAGAAGTGAAATGCTTCTTCTTCCATACAGCCCCTTCACTGACAATCAATGTTTCATAATATTTAAACTGCTCCTAAAATTCTTCTTACACAGAACTATCTTAGATTGATAAAGAAAGCCTTTATTCTGATCTTTATCCATTCCTGGACACCAGTAACCACTTTCTTTCCCATAATGTTGCATGTCTATTCTTTGTCTTCTTGTTCCCCTGAATGTATTTGCCACTGATGAATTTAGATAAGCAGATGTATGCTGTCCTTCTTTGGTTTTACATTGTCACTAGTTTCTCTCTTGAAGCCCCTGGAAAACAGACTACATCTGTTTAATTCTTTGTATTATTGCCTAATTCAGCCCACCATTTATTACCACACATAGTTGACTCATAACTGCTTTCTGATAATAGGAAACAATGGTTTGATAAAGAAGAGTGGTGGATGTTGAACATTCAGCAACTGTGTTGCACACGTTTATAGTGATGACTGTGGAGAAAAAAACTCTTGGCTTTGGATTTTTAAAGCCAAGATTTTGGATTTTTTTGTTAAAAAACATTCCCTGTTTAAGGAGAGCAGGTGCTAAAATTAATCTTATAAAAAGATAATGTTTTTCAAATTTGTTACTTTATCTCTTCAAGTCTAGAAATACTGAAAATCAAATACAGCTAAAACACTAATACTTCAATCCAAAGGACAGTTGATGGTAGTATATTAGGATTTGTCATAGAAATTTCATAATGCCCAAAAGACTGAAATGCACAGAGAATGCAGCAAAAGCTGCATTTGTAGATGTTTTTCTCATGCAAATCATTGTTTGTGAGGTTTTAGTAATACAGGCTTATGCAGAAATTACTAGAGTGATCTCCAGAATAAAATCTGACACTTAAGTAGCAAAAAGCACTGGCTTTTTTTTTTTTTTTTTTTTTTTTTTAATGTATGTTTACGAAGTGACTGCTCCTTGAAGGAAATACTGAGGATTTGTTAACTCATGATTGGGAACAGTTGCTAGAAAATGAGCTTAAGGGGGAAAATATGTTTAGAAACTTGAAATGGTTTCTTTTTTTTTTTTCAATGTAGCATCACGTTCTCTGAAAATTATGTAAGGTAACTTGATATGAAGTTTAATTTAGGCTCGATATTCCAGCTTTCAGGTAGTTTTTTTGTTTTGTTTTGTTTTTTTTAATTTTCCAGAAACAGTTTTCCTTTTAAATTAAGTATTACTGTGTGCCGGGAATCATTTTAAACAAAATAGTGTCCAATGTGATTTCTTCCCTTAAAAAATTTGTGCCTGTTAACTCTACAGAATAATGAGCTTCATTGTGCCTTTTCACATATGCATACCCTTTGATCACACCCTTACCCTCCCTTTCCCCTGTCCCCTTTTCTGTAATAATCTCCCTATTCAAGACTTCTTTTTCTAGATGTGATTTTAAACTATGTTTTATTGTCTTATTTCCATTTCACGCTTAATTAAAATTATATGTTGTTTTTAAGACCACATCCTAGTTAGTACCCTTTCTAAGCAAGAAATGTGATGTTTTTGGAGATCTTTGGGAATTTTTAAATGAACATACTGCTTTTTGCAAGCTATGTACTTTTTTGGCCCCATCAGTTAGTTTGAATTTTTTTTAAGGAGTAGAACCTGATTCACAAATTATGAACATCAGAATGGAAGGTGAGTAGATATTCTTTGACAAGAGTGTATTTTCCTTTGTCAGGGGTATATTGAGAGATATTAATTGGTATTTGTGAGGGAAAGGGAGAGCATTATCAATGGTTTGGAAGTACACATTTTAACCCTTACTGTGATACTTCCTTAGCATAATAAAGGAAGTAAGGAGAGGCTACTGGTAAGCAAATTGTTTAACTGTTGTACCAAGTATTTTTTCAAACATTTTACCATGCATTACCACAGTTTTTTTTCTGCACAGAATACCTATTATAATGAATTCTTAAAACAAATGTACCAAGAGCAGAGTTTGGAAAATGTTGAACCAACCAACAAAACAAATAGGTACAAATTCATATTCTTTTCAAAAATCCTATTTTACAACAAGGGAATAAGTTAAAATCTGTCATTTCACATGTATCAGTTGTTTTGAAGCCCAACTGGATTAGAGTATTCCATGTTTTAGACACCTCCATTTAAGAAATCTGCAGTGAGAGAAGGGAGAATATGAAGGAAGGTATTAAGGAACTTAGTTACTAGTATCTATGACGTTAATTTTTATTTTTATTTACTTATTTTGGCTATCCTGTGGTTTGGAACTCAGGGCCTTGAATTTGCTAAGCAAGTGCCACTTCAGCCACGCCCCAGCCCCTTTTGCATTTTTAAGTATTTTTCTAATAGGAGCTCCTGTTTTTTCCCCTGGTTGGCCTTGGACTGCAGTAAAAATAAAACAAACGTTTTATTTGGACCATCCTTTATAAATTAATAGTGTAAATGAGTCTGATTCATATAGTGGGACTTTTCTTCCCAGCAATGTGGAAATGTTTGTAAAAGGCTGATTCGGCAGCAGTAGACCAAATAACAAATGACAAAAACACTCTCATAGCTAACCTTCATAATACTGTTTTTCTCTTCACGTTTAGTCAACATTTTTTCCACTCACAGGATAAAAAATAATATTGATACTGGTTGGATTAGCATTACTGGCGTCATTTGGGGTCATTTTATTTTTCTCTTGTGTTTTCTTGTCTTTTCAGCAGACAATGTTGTATATTTCTGTATTAGCCCATAACCTCATGCCTCTGGAAAAAAGCATGTTGGCTGGGGCAAGTTTCAATAGTGATTTATTTTGTTTCTCTGTTTTCTGTATCAGCTTTATCCTCGGGCTTGCTCCCTGATTGGCTGATGCCAAGGTATTTGGCTCTTCCTATTGGTGAGAGGAAGGTAGGATTATGTTGATTGGTTTAGACCAGGTATGTATGGAGTTTATATCTATTCTGTAACTCCATGTTGGAAATTTTGGGCATGTCAGGAATGGATGCTGAGGGAATAACCAATAGGGCCCCATTTACTGTAACTAAGACAAGTTTTGAAACTTCTACAACTATACTACTAGATAGGTATTTTTTATGTCTAGTGAAATGTTTAGGTATTTTTATTTAGCAGTTTTTTTCTTGGGTCTTTTTAGAGGACAAGAATTTTGGGCAGATTTGAATGCCATGACTGCATATGAAACAACTGAATTTGACCAACTACGAAGGCTGTCCACACCACCCTCTAGTAATGTCAACTCTGTTTACAACACAGTTTGGAAATTCTTCTGTAGAGACCACTTTGGATGGAGAGAGTATCCTGAGGTATTTACATGTTCTTTTTTTTTTCTTTTTAAACTACCTTTAATTTTTTTTTTCTGTCTTTCTTTGTTCTTTCATTCTTCCTCTCCAACAATGACTAGGCAGAATTATAATCAAAGAGCTTAAGGATGTGAAATTATTGAGTCTTGCTGATAAAGGTAAAACTTTTCTCCATTTTTCTGAAAATGTATTTCCATTCATCTAAAATGCATAAATTGAGTATCACTATTATCAGAGGACTAAAGTTCTTTCCCCAAAATCTTATACTACAGAGATAAAGTACTTCAACGTGGTGCCATCTTTGGATTAATTTTAATGAGATGAGAACTTCTAACTTGGCTATGTCTGCCTCCTGGGCTTGTGGAGATTGGATCATTATACTTACCATTTTTAGACACATAATGGAAACAGTCACTCTCAGGTCTCTGGAAGATATACTTGAAAATGTTTATTAAGCTATGTTTAGGCAAATCATTTATTTCGAATTTTGTCCTATATGCACAGGCAACCTTAGTGTGAGCTCACTATTACAAAACAAGCTTTTAAAGTGATGGTAATTTACTTCGCTGTAGAATGGCAATCCTGAGTCAGGTTAAACACCCTGAAATGGATTTTAGAGATTAATTTCACATTCTAATGATCTGCTTTCTTCAGTTTCATTAAATTCATTTCCACCACTATAAAAAGGGAGAACTGATTTATTTACCTTCCTTTCAGTATTTTTTTAAAAGACATTAGCAGAACAGCATGACTGTTAACAATATGTTAACTGCTATAAAACACAAATCAAACTAAAAATTTCTGACTTTCTCTTTGAAGTGTCTATCTTTAGACAGAAAGAAGCCCTTTAAAATGTACTCTTAGAATACTTGGGTTATCCCTGTGTTTTTCCTCTCAGGTTTCTCAGGTTGGGGACTTGTTTATTTTTAACTTTGTACATTGTTATTTTTAATTCCCTTTATGAAAGTTCCCTTAAGGAATATAGACCAAAGAAGTCTTTAGGATACTGTCATGGTTGGAAATGGAGTAAAATCATTCCCTAGGCCTCACATGTTTCATAACATAGCCTTCTGAACAGGGAGCATCTTACCATTCTGCATCTTAGGGTGAGAGGAATCCTGCATAAAAAAAGAATTACTTTTGAGGTTTGAGTTACTGATTTTATTGGGATTCCTTTGATGTTAGCAATAAGGTAAACTGTTTTTTTGCCTTTAGTTACATCATCATATTTCATAGTGATTATGAAACTTGATTTTTTTCTCCTCTGTTTTCTACTGCATAGTCTGTTATTCGATTAATTGAAGAAGCCAACTCTCGGGGTCTGAAAGAGGTCCGATTTATGATGTGGAACAACCACTACATCCTTCACAACTCATTCTTCAGAAGAGAAATTAAAAGGAGACCTCTTTTCCGTTCTTGTTTTATACTGCTTCCATATTTACAGTAAGTGTCCAGTGCAAACTCTTATCTTTCCTCCTATTCTGTGTATATGCACTACTGAATGATGAAGAGAAAAAGATTTTAAATTTTGGAAACAGTCTTGGTTATTACCACCAGAATGTGAAATTCTGCATTATTCTTTGGATTTAATTCTCCAATAAATCTAGTTCAGGTAATCTATAGTTAACCCAACACTAAAAAAGCAAGTATCCTACTGGAAATTTTTAACTGAAAAGCAGAATAGAGTTCTCATTTTTCCACAACTAAAAGTAATTATGTTTGGAACGATGACACAGAGTTTACCTTTGCTTCCTTCATGGAAGATTGAGTTTTCCTTTCCATGATGATCTACTTTGAAGATGACATCTTTCTGTGTTGTAAGACCACTTTCCAGCCCAGATAAACTGCCAGGGCGATTGAGTAGAGTCCTACAAGGCAATGTTCTATGTTTGTTCTTCCTTGAGTGATATGAATTGGAAAAAAAAAATTACTTTTCAAATAATTTACATTCTGACTGGTTAAGTAAGGCATATCTTCTTGTGCTACTCACTAAAGTTTTCTGCCATATTTCCTAAGAATACAGTTTTTTAATAAAAGAGTAAGGCTAAACTCAGTCTTCTCAATTGCAAGTGAGCTTTTCCATTTTCCCAAGTGCCACTTTTTCCTTCCCTCCCCAAATGACCCACTGGCACATCTTCATAGATATTGAAAGATAGGGCATGTTCCCATTAGTAAGGCTATCTTTGAAAATTAATATCACTAGGAAAGTTATGTATTTCATATATGCCATTTTAGAGCTTAATTTTGAAAATGATACTAAGTTTACTTGGTTTTATGAACTTGGGTATCTAAATAATATTGGTTGATCTCTTTCTACTGATCTTTGAGGTGAAGGTGCTGATTTTATATTCCTAGTATGTGTATTTCAAACCTAAACTTGTCTTCTCCCCAAATCATTTTGATAGAATCTTAATGAGTCTAATTCTGGGGTTGTAAGGAGAACTTTAAAAACAGAATACAAATAATCCCCGAAATAATCAGTACTCCAAAGAAATTTGTAATAAGGCCAATTTTTAGAAATAGATAGTGGCTTGAGTTAAGTGTGTGCTTCTTTCAAGTCCAAATGGGAAAAGTTTTACCTTGTAGTTTTGTTTTTTTAATTGGAACTAACAAAAATGCCATTTCTGGGATTTCACTAGCACAGCTGTGGCTAGTGTCCAGTAGTTAGGAACATACTGTCCTCCTGGTGAGACAGTAGAACTCATTAGTGAAACCAGCAGCTTGGCATGCTGAGCCAATCAAGCAAGATGTAGCTTCTGTGTTAGGATAAGAATGCTCATTCAAGTCTGCATTATTGGGGAAGTTTTAATAAATGTGAAAATAATTTGCCTCAATCCTAAAACAATTATAAGATACTCTCTTTTTTTGTTTTTTTTTTATTAGAGTATTAATTGTACAAAGAAAGGGGTTTCATTGTGATATTTCCATCATATATGCATATAATGTACTTTAATCATACTTTCTCTAATACTTTTTCTTATCCTCCTTCCCCCAGGGCCCCAACTTTTTAACTTTCTTGCAATTTTTTTTATTCTTTTTTTTTTTCTCTTTTTTTGGTGCTGAGAGTTGAACCTCAGGCCTCACACATGTTAGGCAAGCACTCTATCCACTAAGCTACATCCTAGTCTGCAAATTTTTAGAAATGAATTTTATTATGAATTTTTAATACATGTATACAGTGTTACTTTGATCAAAGCTGTCCCCTTTACTTTCTCTTTTATTCCTCCCATCGTATCCTCTTAAATAGGCCCCCTTTTATGTTCATGTCTTTTTGTTTTTGTTTTTAGATCTAGATTCTATGTATGAGAGAAAACATGCAATATTTGTCTGAGTCTGACTTATTTTGCTTAACATGGTGGTTTCCAGAGCTGGAGATGTAGCTCAGTGGTTTAGTGTTTGCCTAGCGTGCCCAAGGCCCTGGGTTCGATCCCCAGTACTGCAAAAACAACAACAAAAAACCCAAAACATGATGATTTCCAGTTCCATCTGTTTTCTACAAATGCATAATTTCATTCTTTTTATGACTGGTTAATACTCCATAGTGTATATATAACCACATTTTTTTTATCCATTCATCAATTGATGGGCACCTAGCTGATCCCATAACTTGGTTATTGTGAATAGTGCTGCAATAAGCATGAGTGTGCAAGTATTTCTATTTTATTATGACTTATATTCTAGTTTACGCCCCCAAGAGTGGTATAACAGGATCATATGGTAGTTCCGTTTTTACTTTTTGAGAAACCTCAAACTAGGGATATGGCTCCAGTAGTAGATTGCTTGCTGAGCAAGCACAACACCCTGAGTTCAATCTCCAGGTCTATGCCACCCTCTCCCCATCAGTATCACGGATACTGATTTCCGTGGTGGCTTCGAATCTCAGTGTTTTGATTTGCATTAACTTAGGCTTGTTTTGTAAAAATGTGAACTATAAAAATAATCAGTGGTAAAATTAATGCCACAAATAATGGCATTACTCTATTTACAATATAGGGTTACAAGAGAACCAAAAAATTACTCCCTCTTTCCTTTTAAGATTTCTTTTTGTAGGGGAGTGGTACTGGGGATTGAACCTAGGGCCTCACACATGTTAGATAAGTGCTCTGGCACTAGAGCTACACTCCTAGACCTCTTATTTTTATTTTTTTCTTGAGATAGGGTCTCCTGCTACCTTTGTCCATCCAGGCTGTCCCAGAACTCCCTCCTGCCTCTGCCTCCCAAATAACTGAGATTACAGATGTGCACCACTACATCCAGTTAAAATTTCCTATTTCAGTCTTCCCCTCTGAAACAGTGATAATCAAAGAGATCAGCAAATCGAAGAGATTGGACAGAAAACAAGAAAAGAGCAGAGAAACGGCAAGTTCACCAGGGTGGAGTGGGAAAATGCAGCAATCTTATCTGCCCTCTAGTCTGGGGCTGTAGGACTGCCCTAGTTGGGAGGAACTACTTCCAAAAAGCAGATATCAGAGACCATGATATTAGCCAGAGAGAAAGTTTTGTTTTGTTTTGTTTTTGCATTTAAGTGAATGCAAAGAATCAAAGAAAAGCATAGGTGTAAAAGAGGCCACAATTGTCAGGGAATTGGAGATATCTGAGAATCGGGATGGGGGATGGGTGGAGACTTACCTAAGTCATGAATTTCCTGCAAATTCAGCTGTTTTTATAAGGTTTTTCCTATTGCTGATAAAAAAAGAAGTGGTTCTTTAATATTCTTAGACTACTTGAACTGAGGTTGCATAAGCAAACAAATCAGATTTAGGGGTTTGGGTGTCTACTCATCATAGGTGAAAGGATGCCTATCCCATACAATCTCCTCATGGTCATAAGAAGGCCTAACACAGTTTCTTTGACTCCTCTCCAAAAAGGATAAAATGAGCTAATTCTTATGTCATTACTGTAGCTTTCTTTATGAAATATCTTTCAAAATGGTAAAAGGCAGGAAAGGTAAAGGGAGGATGGAGAGTGACCATGGAATCTGAAAACCCATTCTTCAGTGTTACTTGATTACAAGCTTGATACCCTTCAACTTCGCCTCTATAGAGAAGGCTGGGATAGCACTATGAAGCATGACATATGTAACTGGAATATTACAAGCTGCATACAAATTCAGCGTTCTCAAAAAATAAAGGCACATTTGTAACTTTGCTTGGAATATACATATACATATACATGTATGTGTATACACATACACTTTTTTGTGTGTGTGTGGTCTAACTGGGGTTTGAACTCAAGACTTCACGCTTATTAGGCAGGCATTCCACCATTTGAGCCACACCTCCAACTTTTTTTTCCTTTGGTTATTTTTGAGATCTCATTTTTCACCCAGGCTAGCCTGGACTACAATCCTCCTATTTTACATTTCCCACAGGTGCATGCCACCACACCCAGCTTTTTTCCATTGAGATATGGGGTTTTCCAAACTTTTTTGCCCAAACTGGCCTGGAACCATGATCCTCTTGAGCCCCACCTCTCAAGTAGCTAGGATAACAGGTGTGAGCTACCAGCACCTGGTTTATATATATTTTAAATCCTTGACAACTAGAGTGTAGAAGTCCATGTCTATTTGCATATGTGTTTTAGTCCAGTAGTTAGGATGTCTTGGTAAAAGTCAGCATCTATGTGTGGGAATGAATGATGTCTTGTCTGTTGGTCTGTCTACATAGATAGATATTTTAATTTAGCATCTTAGGATGTATAGGATTTATTTACCCAGGCTCATCTTTAACTACATGTGAGTAAATAACAGATCTCTCTATATACCACCACCACCCCCAAAAAGAAAAAAAAGAGAAAAACATGTATTTGAAGTTCTCAGTTTTATGGAATCTATTCTTATGCAGGAGCACTAGCTGGAGGAAAAGGACCAGAGTCTCTTATGTTGTCAGTGCCAGGTTTTCAATACAGGCTAAGATGGTCTAAAACCTGTCTTGGGCAGAATGTTTGTCCAAGATGAATCCTAGCCTTCCTTCCTCAAACTAGAAACCTTTGTTGGTAGTTTCAGCCCCTGATAATAACGGAAAACCATGTGGGCTAGGACTTACGCTTTTTAAGGGAGGAGCTAAAAGTAAAAGGTGTATATTGAGTGCTTTCCTGCCATTCCTTCTGAATAGTAATGGCTCCTTAAGGAGCTACAGACCTTTGAGAATGTGATTAAAACAATGGGGCCTCTCTTCAGAAAAATGGATCTGTACTAAGGCTCCAACAGAATCTCTCAGGGCTCTGAAAAATTAACTGGAGAAGAAGAACAGTGTCTTCTGTCCTGAAGATTGGAGAACCCAGCCCCACTTTAGGTCCACCTCTGCATTTCAGACACCTGGTGGGGACTGAAGAAGGCAGTGGATTTTAGCTTCTTTTTCCTTTTTTGGTTGTTTTGAGACAGGGTCCTGCTGTGTAGCCCTTGATCATCCTGCCTCAGCCTCCTGAGTGCTAGGATTAGGATTAGAGACATGTTTGTTTGTTTAAGTAGGGTTTTATATATTTGCCTGAGACTAGCCTAGGAACCTATGACCTACCTATGACCTCCTGCATAGCTGGGAACACAGGTGTACTCTACCACTCCTGGCTTATTGATTGATATGAGGTTTCTCTAACTTTCTGCCCAGGTTGGCCTCAGGCCTTTAATCCTCCCAGTCTCCACCTACTGAATAGCTGGGATTATAGGCCTGAGCCACTGTGCATGGCCACTTTTAGCTCTTATTAAGACTTCTCTTAAAAGTAAAAAGACTGTGATGTAGTAGTAGTAGTAAGAGTCAGGCAAACCAGATTGGAGCTTAGTATTCCATCTATCACTTTCTAACCTTTTAAGATTTTTCCTAAATATGAATTGTGAAATTCACAGAACAAGAAGAGGTTAGAAACTATCTCCATGGATCTGGATTCAAAAATGTCTCTGCTATTTGTCAGCTATACAAATTATTTAACCTCTCTGAACCTCAGTTTCTTTATTTGAAAAGTAGGGATAAAGGCCAGCCACGGTTGCTCTTTGTCTATAATCCCAGGAGGATTGCATTTTGAGGCCAGGCCTAAATAAATAAATAAATAAATAGGGGAGACCCTGTCTCAAAGAATAAGCCAGGTGTGGTAGTGCACATCTATAGAATCCTAGCTACATGGAAGACATAGGTAGGAGGTTTTCAGTCTGAAGCCAGCCCTCGCAAAAAGCATGCGACCCTATGTGAAAAATAACTCAAGTGGAAAAGGCGACAGGCATGGCTGAAGAAGTAGGGCACTTGCCTGGCTGAGATAAGGTTATGTGTGCAAAGTTACTGTGACAGTAATTCTATACACAAAAGACCTGTTTCTTCATAGTATGTGCAGAATATTAAGTGACTATGACAAGGGAAAGGTAGGACTCTTCGGAGATTAGATGCATGTTCACACACAGTTGTAACCTCTGTGTCACAAGGCTCTTTTGAAAATTGCAATTTCCTAATCCATTTTGGCAGACATAATTGCTTCCTTGTGACCAGTGTGTACTGATGAGTATTACAGTACCCTGGCCCTAAAACTAGGTCTCAGGGTCAAGATTTCCTTACTTTCTGCTTCTTCCCTTTTTTCTGTTCTGAAAACGGCAAAAAAAAAAAAAAAAAAAAACGATTCAAATTTAAACATCTAGTCAGGCAGGAACAAGTAATAAGAAGCTGCTTATGTAAACCCATCCTTCAAAGCAGTAACCTGGATTTAAAGGTTCAGTGATGAATGTTCATTTGCATGTAACTTTTTTTTTTTTTTTGTGATGCTGGATTGAACCCCAGGGCCTTGTGCATGCTAGGCAAGTGGTTTGTTATTAAGCCTACCCCCACCCTTAACTATCTTAATCACATCCAAAGCTATAAAATTTGAGTAGTATTGGTGGTGTTATTATTTTTGATCTTGGAAAGTAAAGGAAATATCAAATATTTGTCAGCATTCAATGCCTGCTTTGTGATTTTGGTTTCTTTGGGGTGAGGGGCGGTATTGGGTTTGAACTTAGGGCCTCACGCTTGTGAGGCAGGTGCTCTACCACTTGAGCCACTTGGCAGCCCTTTTTTGTGTTGGGTATTTCTGAGATTAGGTCTCTCGGATGACTTGCCTGGGCTGGCTTTGAACTGCGATCCTCCTGATCTCTGCCTCCTGAGTAGCTAGGATTATAGGCGTGAGCCACCAGTGCCTGGCTTTTATTTCTTTTTATGCAGAAGCAAAAGTAAGCTTTTTAATTTTTCCCATATAAACTCCCTTTTCACCACCTGTCTTCTTTGTTTCCCTTCCCACACAGCCTTTAGTGATATCTTTTTTGCTTAATGTCAGTAAAGTTTGAAGAAAGCTTATAAATTATCATTGTTCTCTTGAAACAGAGTTAACCATATAGGCAAAAGAGGACTCAAGAGGATTCAAAACTAAAGATATTTATAAATAGGCTCTTGCTTGTTTGCCTTGCAGCAATACATTCCAGAGTTTTCTCCACAGGGAAGAGGCCAGAAAGAATCTAATAATAGGTTATTTGTGTTCAGACAGTGTTTGCTCTAAGATATTTTTTCTTAAATAAATTTTTTATTGTTTTAAACAAATGCTATATAAATTATAACATTGGACACTGCTATAGAGTGCTGTATGATGTGAGATATTTTTATTTCTGAGTGTTTGCATTAATGTTCCCTCTCCATTTTAGGACACTTGGTGGGGTTCCCACTCAGGCTCCTCCTCCTCTAGAAGCAACTTCTTCATCACAAATAATCTGCCCAGATGGAGTCACCTCTGCAAACTTTTACCCTGAAACTTGGGTTTATATGCATCCATCTCAGGACTTCATTCAAGTGCCTGTTTCTGCAGAGGACAAAAGTTATCGAATCATTTACAATCTTTTTCATAAAACTGTACCTGAATTTAAATATAGAATTTTGCAAATATTGAGAGTCCAAAACCAATTTCTTTGGGAGAAATATAAAAGGTGAGTCAGAAAAGTGTTTGTGCAAATTTCGAGAGAGCCTTTCTTATAGCTAATGTCAAATGCAGAAATAAAAACTCTTGTATAGACTTTACTATGTTCATGTTTTTTCACTTATTAGATCACATATAATCCTTACGACAGACCTATAAATAGGATTATTATAATTTATATAGAGATGAAATTCAGTAATGTAAAAGTCTGGTAATTTATCATAGGTCATGCAGCTAATAAGATACGGTGTTAAAATTTGGCAGTCTGGCACCAAAACCCTTGCTGTTAATCTCTCTGTTCCTCAAAACAATAAACAAACTAATGCACAACGGGAATATGTGAAGATTTGAAGAACCTCAGATCTAAAGAACAATCAGATTAGAAAAATTAGACAAAGGGGCTCAAGGAAGGTAAAAATGAGAACTAGGTTTGAAATGGAAAAGAAATCAAGTGACTCGTTGATGGAGAAGGAAAGAAGAGGGATTTTCTGGAATGAAAAAGATAAATGTAGATTTTAATCTGGACTTTGATCAAAAGCATTTTGCCCTTGAATAGTTAACATTCCATCATCCTTGAAATCATAAAGAGAAGCTTATGACTAACAGAATGCTTATTAAATTGATACATATTTCCTTCTTTTAATGATGACCAGAGTTATCCTTATTTTTGTTATCCAATTGAAGAAGTCAGTAACACTGTTTCCATTTGAAAAATCTGGGTAGTGCTTAAGTTTTTGTATGAACTCAATCCAGCATTTGTTTGCAGGTTTGAATGGGTGGGACTGGGTGGGAACAGCATTGGACAGTAATAGGGCACTTTTCAGACCCATTTTTTTTAAGTGCTAGAAAGTGTAATTTTTTTTTTAAGAAAAAGAAGTTTTAAAATGACCACTTATTCTTTAATTATTTACTAATTGTTGTTAGTGTACTCGATGTGGAAAAAATGAAGATTCACACTTGTACATATAAGCCAATGTTATTAGAAGCATTTGAAAAGAAAGAAAGAAAGAAAAAGAAACTGAACGCCTAAAACTAATTAAATGTTGCTTGGGTTTGGTAGATTTGGCCATATCAAATAGAGGCTGTAGCAAGGGGGTTTATTTATTGACATTGATGAACTGTACTACCATGTTTATTACCAATCCAAGCTCACTACTTTAGGCAGTATAAGTTCATGGAATTCTCGTAAAGCATCACTTACTTTAGGGCAGTATAAGTTCATGGAATTCTTCGTAAGTGGAAAGATTTTTTATTCCTCTTCAGCAGTACTGAAGGAATTGCCCAATCAGAGACTATCATGACTTTGTTCTGGGAGTTTTCCTTAAAATTCAGAGTTCTGTTTAGAGGAAGTTAAAAAAGAAACCATTTGAAACTTTTTACTACTGGCAAAAATTTCATTAACTAAGCTAAATGTGATTCATCCTTGGGAAACTCAATCTCTATATATCATCCACCTTAGTTTTGAAGTTAGTCAAAGGGAGTTGGGCAGCTAATTTGGTTATAGCCAGTCTCGAGGATTAGAAGTATTACTTTCTTTTGAGGTTCCAGACCTAGCCCCTGTCTGGTATTAGAGAAAGGAAAGACATCTACAACCAAATTGAAAAAGGTTTATTACTGTGCTCTGTACAAAGTAAATTGTCAAAAGTATTTTATTGAGTTGAGATGATTGTGTGTAGATGGTAACCCACCCCTATGCCTGCTTTGCCAGATGCAGCTGGGTTTCCTGCTGACCTGTACCTTACACTACTTACTTAATAGAAAGAAACACAAACTTGGAAATTGTGCCAACTGGCCCAGCTGCAGCATAGGCTGCGGTGAATATGCTGTTGCCTCAGTTCAGAAGAGAGAAGCTAGTATACTTCACCTTAAGCAAAGCAAATACCTTGATTTACTAAAGTGAAAGTAGTTGTTCACAAAGAATTCACCACACAGAATTCCTTCAGGTACCAATTGCTCCTACTATATTTGTGGTTATTTCATTTACCCACAACTTTTCAGGAAACTTCTGTTGTTTAACAATTGCAAGATATTTACCCCACAACTTTTCAGGAGCTATACTGGCGTCTCAGTGAATTAGTCTGTTTAAGCACTTTATCGGGGCTTCCACACAGTTATTTTATTTGCCCTAGTTGATCCTGTTGTTTGCTGCCATTGGCATGAAACGGGCAACCGTAGCGGTTGTTCTTTCATTCAATTACAACGTGTAAAGCAGTGATTCCCAACCTTTTTCAAAGTTAAAAACACCTTACCATTACTCATTTGATTTTATTAAACTTGTTTCTCTTACTCTCCCTAAAGGAAACAAAAGCTTTATGACATATTTATTTTTTAATAAACTAAGCAAAAATAAAAGTTATGGTAATTCTTTAAAAACTTTGGCTTTCATTTTGTTTTCCATTTAAGAAGGCTGAATTCACCACATAGTTGATGATCTGTAAATGTTGGCTGGCTGGGTTGGCTGATTGGCCGGCTGGGTTGGCTGGTTGGTTGGTTGGTTGGTTCGTTTTGAATAAATGTGTGATTGGGTGACTGAATGAACAGAGCTTCCAGATCATGCTGCCTAACATTTTCTGCTCTGGGAATATACAGAAAGTACATTATTTAGTCACATTATTTGTAAGTTACAAGAGAAGAGTGAATATTTTTTTTTGCAAGTAAGTATTTGGGGAAGAGGAACAAGCTTAATACCAGCAAACACCTGTAGAGAAAAACATGAACTGTGTCCTCTTCGATTGTGTGAAGGAATAAAAGGAATGGTAGGCTCGCAAGCACCATAAGATTTCAGCCAAATAAAAGTCATCTGGGTACACATGAGCACCTCTGACTGTTTTCCCCCTCAGTATAATGACTTAAATTCCCTGTGATAGTGCTGCATATTGTTCTGAATGAGCAATAACTTTTATAATGGTTCAGGGATTTAAAAACATACTAAAAGGCATTGGTAACTTTCTTTTTACTAGCACAACTAGAGTTTATACCATTTCAGAAGGCTGAAGTTTATTCATTTAAATTATGGTTAAGATTTCTAGGAAATAAGTCTACAAAGTCCTTGAGAAATTCCAGTGTCATTTAAATCCTATAGTCAGAAGATTTTTTTAGTGTGTGCAAAGTTTATAGATACTGGATCCCTCAGCTCTGTGTCTTTTGTTACCTGTTTGTTTAAATAAGTTATTAGTTATAGTAATTACTGAAATACCTTTAAAAAGGAATTTTTATTTCACAAGGCCTGAGAATAACTAAACAAAAAATATATTCAATACCCAATCATGCTATCAGTTTAAATCAGGGAGGCTTTTTCTCTTTCTTTTAAGGAAAGGAAGATGGCCATAAAATATTCCTACTTTTCCTTAGTTGGAATCCAGTAGGCAAAGTGCATTCTCCATGGCACTTTTCTAGAATGTAACTCACACCACTCATGTTGCTATTAATATATTTTTAAAATAACTTGAGCTCTCCTATTGTAAATATACAATAATCTTGGATAAATTTTAGCCATTTCACATGGTTATTTTCTCATCTTTGAATATGCTTTTTTTGCCTCTCCCTCCACCACCCCCCACAAAGGACTGGGGCTTGAACTCGGGGCCTTATGCTTGTTAGGCAAGTGCTCTACTACTTGAGCCACATCCCCAGCCCTGATACAGGTTTGTTTGTTTTTTAAATAGAAAATGATAGGAACATTCTAAGTTTGAGATCTTACAGTTTCAATATGTTTTATAAAATGCTGTACAAAAAACTAATAGCATTTATTTACAAAGTAAAAGGTACATTGTCCATAAAAGAACAGTGTTGAGTTTTAAAAACACATCCACCCCAGTTTATTGATTTAAGTACTCTTACTGTAGGCACATTACAAAAGTGGAATGTGAATATTCCTTGTAGCTTTTGGGCATTCTGCACTTCCTTGATTATTAGGTACTTAAGTGCAATTAAATTCTGTCATAAAGGTCTGTGAAATTCTGATGTACTTAAAATGGTTGGGCACTCTCTATTAGCTTGAAGAATTTAGCAAGTGTTCATGAAACATTTCTAACACACAAACACTCCATTCATGTAAGATTAAAGTTTAGAAGATTTGTGATCTGACAATAATACATAGGAATTAAGTCTCAAAAGATAAGGAATGAATTAAGCAATAAAATAACACAATTAATAATGCTGATGAAACCTTTCAATGATACCTTATAAGAAACCTTAAGTAACTAAGGTTAGCAAGCTAAAAAAGGTTTTAAAAAAAGGTAAAAAAATAAGTGGTATTACATTTTACTTCTTTAACTTGGATTAATGGGTTCCTGTGATAATTCCCATTTTGCTACTGGAGTTCAGTTAGGTTCCAATCTTACAGCCACCCTGATTAAATTATGTAGCTAACAGGCTCAACTAAGTGTTCAAGAACCTCTAACCCGTCTAATGCTTGGCAGTTCTTAGATGACAAGTTATCATTTGCTGGGTCCTGTGTTAGATACAGCAGAACTGCTCTTTGAACTATTTCACAGTACATTAAATACTACTTTTAATACTACATCTTGAGTGGCAGGAGTAAGCTAAACAGGTGCCACTTGATAACATGACAATGTGACAGTCTTCAAATTTTTGTGCAGCCCTTAGTTTATAAATTTTTTTTGAGCAGCAATGATGGATTTTAGTCATTAACCTAGACTTCGCTGACAAAAATCCCACTTGAAGGTTGTATACTTTATAGTGTCTTGTTAAGGGTTTAATTCATACCTTCTAAGCTGTGTGCAGTTAGCTTCCATGTAGGGTAGCAACCACAAATCTAATTAGCATTGGTCTCAATGATTTAAGTTAATTGGACCCAGTATTTATAAGCTTTAGTATTATATATCTACTTGTATCTGGATTCCTTCTAAATGTACATATCTACCCATATGACTATAGGTTTATAGCTAGATATTTCTAAGGCTACAACTTTTGCAGTCTTATGTTTGTAGACATACAAATGAATGAGTATAGATTTTGTGAATCATTATTACTCAGTTTTGTGGTAAGTTGTCATTTATCAGAAAGCAGCCCACAGCCTGTTCAATAAAATTCTCTACACAATTTTA